ATTATGATGATTAAATGCCATATTTTTTTATTTTAATCCTTTAAGAAAAAAAAACCCTTGTAAAATATTAATTAATTAACTTTTTTATACATCGGTCAACTAATTGGTGACCGGTCAACAACTGGTGCATTTACCCTACTCTATAAATAGATGTTTGAAAATTTTAGTGAAAAATGAGATTGAAATTAAATTAGCCAACATCTGAAAAATTATTAAAATTTTTTTGTTGAAAAAAATAAAAGAAAAATTCTAAATGCAATTTTTAAAGAATATTTTTTTACTTATAATTTTAATTGATTCAAAAAAATAAAAAATTATTAAATGTTTGCTAATATTATTATTATAAAAATGAGTTAGTATATTATTTTGAAACTAAAAAAAAAGAAGAAAAGTTAAATTCTATAAATTTTTAATAAATAATTCGTAAATCTGCCATGAAAAAACTTAAAAAACGTGCGGAAAATTCAAAAGTGCACGCCTCATGATCTCATTTTTCACAATAAAATTGATTAAAATAAAATATAAAAAACAGAAAACTCTGCTATGATTTAGTGGCGTCATAAATCTAAGGTGAGAAAAAAAAATACTGTAAAAAAATGTATAGATAGATATACAAAAAAATACACAGTCATATATTAGTTTTTTATAAATAATAATTTAACGACAGTGAATTGAACGCTCATATTAATTGAGAAAATCCGTCGCGTGTTACTTTAGATAATAATAAAAAAATAATTCAATTTCCCTGCCACATACACCAATCTATAAACACAGATACACGGACGTCCAGAAAAGATTATTTTTAATGCTATTATTTACTATGTTAAACAAAATAATTGTTATTGAAATATATTTTATGTGCCGGACAAATTATTTAACTTGATATTAGTACACTCAGATTAACCTGTAAGTGCAATATAAATAAAAACAAATCAATTTTAGTTTCGAGAGAACTGCTTTTTTTTAAATGTCGAGAGTAGAGCACTACCTCAACGCTTCGCTTATGAGGCGTGCAAAAAAATTGTCAACTCAATTTTTCAATTTTACAGTCTTAAAATATTGAAAAAAAAAATATTATTGATTACTTTTATTAAAGTTTATGAAAAAAAAAATAAAAATGAATTTTTAGATTTTTTTTAAATGGAAAAATTTCTAATTTTATTATTTAAAATATACCAACATTTATAAGATCTAATAAAATTCATATAAAAGTTATAAAAAATTCCTGATACACTTAAAAATTCATTAGAGTCAATTTTAAAATAAATTTACCAGGTATATAATTAAAAGTGACTCTAAATTTAATTATCTTAAGGCTGCATACGAAGAGCGCCGTCCAGACGAATAGTCTCGCCGTTCAACAGCGGGTTCTCGACGATAGCTTGGGCCAGCTGAGCGAACTCATCGGTCTTGCCCAGACGCTGTGGGAACGGGATTGTCTTTGCCAAGAAGATTCTCACCTTCTCAGGCAGAGAAGACAACAGTGGAGTGTCGAATAGTCCTGGAGCTATCGTGCAAACGCGGATTCCTTGAGAAGAAAGGTCGCGAGCCAGCGGAAGAGTCATCCCGACGATGGCGCCTTTGCTCGCTGAGTACGCGGACTGACCTGTCTGTCCTTCGAAAGCGGCTACACTGGCGGTGTTGATGACCACTCCGCGCTGCCCGTCGGCGTTTGGCGTGTTGTCGCCCATCAGTCCCACGGAAAGTCGGATTACGTTGAAGGTTCCGATTGTGTTGACGGTCACCACTCGGGAAAAAGTGTCCAGGCTGTGTGGAATCTTCTTGTTGAAGTTGTAGACTTTGAACGCTGCTGCTATTCCAGCGCAGTTAACTAAAACGTCCAACTTTCCAAACTCGCTTTTTGTTAATGCAAGCGCTTTTTCTATGTCCTCTGTTGATGTCACCTGGAACAATTATTTTTGAGGTGTAAAGAAGAAATATTTAAAATTTTTTTATTAAATTAGCAACCTTGCAGTCACTATGTGACTGCCGTGACTTGTGAACTATAAAAAATTCAAATCTGGCTTTAAAAAATAATGACTTTTGTTAAATTGCACTGTACTTTCTTAATTATTGACATTTTTAAAGATATAAGCTCATCTTGATTTTACACTCATCAAAAGCTTTTATTTGAGTACCCACATGCATTTTGATATATTTTTCATATATATATATATATATATATGAAAAAATTGATGTGGGTACTTAAATGAAAGGTCTCGATGAGTGTAATGTCGGGGCGAGCTTATATCTTTAAAAATATCATTAGTTCTTAAGATACAAGATCATTTCTTAATTATTGACATTTTTAACGATATAAGCTCATCCCGATGTTGCACTCATCGAGAGCTTTCATTTGAGTACCCACATGCATTTTTGATATATTTTTCATATATA